GGAGAAAACCAATATTAGGCCGACAAATGAGCAGACAAATCAACTGACGGTTAATCAGAACACCAAATGGATGGATTTGAGAATAGGGGATTCGGAGATTAGAGAGGGGAGGATTTATTACTAATAATAATAATATTTACAATATTCACAGGTTTACATTTATTGGGATGATTATTCACAATTTCTTTTCTTGCAGGTAAGTCTCTTCATTAAGACAATGGCTCAAGGTTCGAGAGAGAATTGGTAAGTCTTTTTATTAATTTTTATCTTTCATGGAAGGAGATTATTTGTAATAATAATTTCTTTCATCATTATTTTGTTTACGGATGTATTAAATATTTGGTTATAATTGTATAGTCAAACTTGCCCGTTAAGATTTATTTACGTTACAAAGTTTTATTGGATTGTTCCTTTATTTTGCATGGTATTTATGTTTTATCATTATGATTGTTTTTGTGTTTTCGACAACTAGAAGACAAGTCTAGCCAAAAACTAACAACAATTTTATTTTAAAAAGTAAGTATTCACTTATTTTTACCTGATTCCAAAAGAAGGATTGATAATTCTATCAATGTAATTAAAATTGAATCTGTTATAGTTGAAAATATAAAGAAATAAGAACTAAGTATGTGTTTGATTGAGTTTCCCTATTGTAACATGTTGATTGATTGTTCTCAGGCAAAACTAACATTCTAAACATGAGTCTGTGATTTTGCATTTATAGGGTAGGTAGGTACTTAATAAAAAATAAATGAAGAAAATGTATTAGCCGTTTTTTTTTTCATTGTGATAAAATTGGTTTTTATAACTTACAGTTCAGAAAAGCATAATTTCTCATTTAATTTTACATTATATTGTAAATAACCATAAGAAAGTGGCAAAAAATCTTAACAAGAGGAGAAAAGGTTTTATATTTTTTTTAATAAATAAGTTCTCAAGTTCCAAATCAACTAGCCATCTTATGTGTAGTATTAATTTTTGTAGAGGCATTAATCATACCTTCGAAAAATCGACGAGGACCGGGGATGTTGTATTTCCATGGCTATACATACTCCTGGAGGAACTTTAAGAAGTATGGTAATTACTGGACATGCTCCAGCCATCACAAGAAAGGCTGTAAAGCAAACGTATCTACAAATGAAAACAGTCATCCGTTCACAGTTACAAAATATAATGACAAACACATACATCCACCCCCAAAAATCAGACTACCTTTGGCCATAGAATACATTATTTGATGTTAAATTTCAAAGTTCAAATTAAATATAAAGTGTTGGTATTTCTTTAATAAATCGTTCAATACTGTTACAATATGCGTTTCATTTTTAACTTTCGAACATGGAACTAAACAAATAGGGAATCACATAATTCCATTGTTACAGAGATTCACTTTATTTCTTCGAAGAGAGGTAATAAGTTGCTTGTCTTCAAACAGTATACTTTTGCAAAGAATTTTGAGAGTAAATGCGGAGTCTCTTGGACTTGTTCTTCACGGTGTTCTAAGAAATGTCAGGCTCAGGTTACCTTGAGTAATATTGGGAAGTTCCAAGTCTTAGTGGGTACCCATACTCATCCTCCTCCGGTGTTCTATGTAAACGAAGAGGGAAGGTACTTGAGGTTAACCCAAAGACAATTGAAAAATGCTAATAAAATATCCAAAAAAGATATTGTTGAAAGTGATTATATTGAGGAGATTATTGATTAATTTTATGTTTTTTTTTTAAATATTTTTTATGTGCAATGATAATTTGGAAATGTTGTCTGTGATTTAAAACAATTTGAATTTGACTTTTAAGTCGTTAACTGTGTATCCATAAATCCTAGGGTGATGATGTCCTTTTTGTTTGTGTTATTATTTTTATAAATACTTTTAGTTTTTTGACCTTATGTTGATAGTATAAACATGGACCATTGTTTTACATTTACCAAATTTTACCAAAGATATGCATAATATGTTTTAAAGTAGTGAAGATTTTAAAGTTGTGATAGTGAAGATAGTTTTACTTGAATTCTTATGCCGTATAGCGTATAAGTTATACCTACGTTTTGTTGAACTTTAATATTATTTTTTTAGAGTAACTCATTTTTATTTTATAATAAACTTAGTTTTTTTAAAACATTTGCTGATCGTACCTGATCAGAATCTGCTTTGAAAAAAAAAGTTTTAAAACAGGTAATATTAGGTTTTAAAACACTTGTGATCAATTTTTTAACATTTTTTTTGTGTATGTGCTATTTGAAAGCATGTTTAATAAGGATCTCATATTAGAATTTAATTTACGTACGACAGCTACGTATACATAATTGAAGTGGTGGTCACTTTTTTTTTATTTTTATACATATATTGTCGCCTTTTTAATATAACAGGTCTTATATTATATCTGAAAATAATAATAGTGACTTGGTCCTAATTAGAAGACTGAATTTAAGTTAATACGTACCTATTTTTTATTAATTCGTTAATTAAGTAGGTATTAGCAAAATTAACAAAGTTACTACCTAGTCTAAACCTTGTTTTGGAAGTTTAGATTTTAAAATTAGCCAAGACTGAATTTTTGTACTAATAAAAAAAAAAATATTCATTCTCTATTATAATTCAGGACTAAATACGTAAATGGCGAGAAAAGTTATGTGATTACAGCCAGTTAAGTAAAGTTTTAGTTCTAAATGAAAAAAAATTGTATAGGTAAAGTTTCGGTTGTGATATGGACCTAAAATAAATATATCTTTTATAACAACACAATTGTTGTTTTATTATTTTTAGTTGTATTATATTTTAGTTCCAATATTTTCTATAAAATGAAGCTAGGTATTTTAAAACATAAATTGTAGGGTATGCAAATAAACCACAAAAATTTAAGTCTAGTAGTAAGTTTACATAGGTAGTAATATTATTATGATTAATGTATAAAAAATGCGTCCAAAAATGTAGAATTAAATAGTAAGCATGACTAGTGACTTATAAAAATATTAAAAAACTAGAATATAAAATATAAAAATAATAAAAAAATATAGTAAAAGTTTTTTCCGGCATCAATGACAAAGTCGAGGAGGTGTGAACCGAAATTGGTTTATAAAAATTACTCGTACAACAGGAATTATGTTAACCACAGAGATACCTGTGTAAAATGGTACTGCTCATCCAGAAATTCTAAGAAGTGTAAAGTTAAAGTTATTACAGACTTTGATAACAATATATTGCATATAATCGGTGAACATAATCATAAGTTAAAATCCTACTAATATAATGAAAGTTTGTACGCTTTTTGTTACTCCATCCGTCACAAGAAATATAATAAGTAGCAATCACTAGTGCTGCGTCTAGGAATTTAAGTAATTTTTTTAACAAGTGTATCCTAGAGGGTAAGCAAAACTCTTGAATTCTTCTGATGTTGCCGGTGTACTTAGTGTGAACAGCACTGGTACTTACCATTAGAAAATACTTCTGCTTTTACTTCATTAAAATAATAATATCTGTTTTCTACTATCCTTGAAACTTAAATGACTTGATTACTTACTAGTGATCATTAACTTTTTAACTCGTCGAGTACCGGTTTTATAGACACAATTAAAGAACAATAGGTCGCGGTCACCGGTGACCGCTTGGTGTTTGACAGTTTAAATTGCATAAATTATATTTAAATGAAAAAAGTAAAATGTGGATTGTGATATTTTCCCTAAACCAAATAAACATATTATATAAATATTATTTTTGTTTTCTTCTCTTTATATTTAAGTTAATTTACAATAAGTCATAAAATTAAACTATTTTAAAGTAAGAATGATATCAAAATATGTAGCAAAAACTTCAAGTCCGGTAATTTTACATAGTGATCTTATATTATTATCTTCAATGTACAAAACTGCGTCTAAAACTATAGAAAAATATAGCATGAGTTGATTAGAGAGAGACTTAAAAAAAAGAAAGAAAATTATAATAAAATTTTATTTCCAGCGTATGTGATAAAGTCCAGCAGGGGTGAACCTAAATTGGTTTATAAAAATTACTCATACAACAAGAGTTACGTTAACCACAGAGATACCTATGTAAAATGGTACTGCTCATCCAGAAATTCTAAGAAGTGTAAAGTTAATGTTGTTACAGATTTTGATAATGTTATATTGAATATAATTGGCGAACATAATCATAAGTCAAAATATATGATGAAATGTAATGGGTATGGGTCGCAATCTCAAGTGTTGTATTATGTATGAATTATATACCTATCTTTTGTGAATTTTTCTAAGTATAGCCTAAAGGGTCGGCAACGCACTTGTAAATTCCCTAGCGTTGCCATCACCATCAAATGACGCTTCTACTGATTCACCTTACAACTCCGTAAATAATAATATATCTAGTCTCTGCTACCCTTCAAACTAAAATGGTTTGATTACTTATCTGTACCTTATGTAGATAAGGTAGCTAAGGGTAAGGAGATTCTGCTATCTTTATTTAGAAAAAGGCTCTGAAGCTTTTTAGTTGCTAAAGCATTATAGTTTGAATGGGTATCTAAATGACAATGATTTTTAAGGTTAGTACTTGAGTTGAAAATAGTGTTCCTAATTTATGCTCTTTTTTTAATTATGTATTTTTGGGTTATTTGTCTTTAATTGTAAAATATTATCCAATGCATTTTACAATGTAAGTATATCATTTGCATTTTGCATGCTTAAATGATAAAATATATTTTTTGTCGCTTATAATTGTTACCCATATTTGCGAAATGAAAGTATCTTCTCTTCTCATCTCTCTTCTCTTAATATCATTAGCTTCTTAAATAGTTTTTTTAATTTTATAAATTATATTTTTCTAGTCCATTTATTTTGTAATATATTTTTAAGCAATTTTTTTATACAATTTGTATCTAGTCAGCTAATAAGTAACTGCCAAGAAATTATCAAGTAAGTAGAAGGTGAGGTCTGAGGTCAGTAGGATAGAAAGTGATTTTCATAGATCTAAGTACCTAGATATGTATGAAAAATTTTTATTTCTGTAAATTATGAGCTTCCGTCGTATTTCAGTCATTAGGGTAGGTGTAATTAGGGTAAGTAAATGATTATGATTTTGTAATATATGTGTATATTGTATACTAAGACGTAAACAACAAATTGGTAATGAACAGTATTATTGAATCTGAAAAATGAATAAATTTTAGACTTATTAAAATTAGTTATTTTTTGTCATATCCGTGTGATGTTTGATATGTATTGTAAACATTAAATAATAAACTATACCTGATACTGAAGTTTTATTTAAAAATACCTATTTATATGCTATGCTTTATCTAGGTAAAGGTATTAGACTAATATAACGGAGGTATTTTTTTTTTAAGGAACCTTTTATATATTTTATTTCTGTGTTGATTCTTTTGGTATTAGTAAGGTAACATGGTGGTTTTATTGGTATTCGTATGGGATATACATACATGGTGTAAATATATAGGAAAAATAGGAAAGAATATTTAAAGTAATGAAAAACCCACTTCTATATCAAGTATTAACCAGTTCAAATTCTTTTTAGGACCTGTTCTAATAAGGACTAAGAGGAAAGGCCAGTATGTTCTCCTTTACAAGTCCTACACATACTCAAGGAGCGCAAAGTCGAAAAAAGGAACGGTTTGGAAATGTACTGCAAGCAAGAGCGAGGAGTGCGAAGCTCGGATGACCACAGATGATAACTTGAATGTCGTTGCTAGTAAAGGAGAGCATACCCATAAACCAACTGAAAGGGAGGGTAAACCTAAACATGTGTATTTTACCACTTAATTTTGTTCTTTGTTGTGTTTAGTATAAGGTTTAGAATTAAGAAACGTTTGATTTTGAGAACAACATGCCTTCGAGGCGATTATTAGTAATAATGGTTTATTTAAAAAATATGTGGTAAAAAACACTGTTTCCAAACAATGATATAATTGTATGTGGTTTTGGTAGTGATTACTATGTTAGATATAGATATAAGTATATAATTCTTTTTACATCAAAGGACATAAAGAGTGGAATTATTTCCATAGTGTATGTAAGCTACTTTTTTGTAACAAACGACCAAAATGTAGCGGACAAAATGCTAATTAATAATTGAAGACATTTTTATTGTGTGTGCTTATATTATGTAGAAGAATCAGACGTTACGAAAACGGCAAATCGTTATGGTCAATCATTGCATTTTATTATCTTGACGCACCTAACTGTAAGTGTTGTAACTTGCTGTGACTAATTCAAGTCACCTCATTATTAGGGAAATATTAAGAACATACCAGTGCAGTAGTTAATGAAAAACTACAATATTGTCGTAAAATATTTATAAGTACTTAATTACCGTTCTTTAGGTGTAGAAAAAAAATCATAGGTAGGTAACCTATGATTTTTTCTTTAAATAAATCCCTCTATCTACATAAGATATTACGGTGAATATAAAGGATGTTATTTATTAGATTTAGATTATTATTATATATGTAGTAAGTAAGGATAATTTTTTTTTAATTTACTTGTGGATTTTATATTACAAATCCGCTGTTGTTGTTGTTGTTTTAATGTTAATATTAAATTAGATAATAAATACTAAGATGTAAGTACTTGGGTAGTACCTATTTTGTCGACCATGCTAATTATCACAAACTAAATAACGAAACGTTTATTTTATATCTTAAGTAGTATTTATTTAAGGTACAATTTAGATTAACTATAACATGTGTAGATTATTTACTTAAGTTTTTTTTTAATAAATTCGACTATTTTACTAAGCGATAAGTAGAAAATTATTTTTTGACGATACTTAGTTTTAGTTGAATAAATGCGTGTTTTTAAGATATTTTCATGACATATCTACCTCAGAACAGTTTTTTTATACAAGCTACGTGTGTATTAAATATCCGACTATATAATAAATAGAAATATACTTATTTATCTCGCCTTTATGACATAAAATTATATTATATGTCCAAATATTATATTTTACTGCATTTGTTCATATCGTATTTACTTATAATTTAAGCATGGTTGTTTTTATATACCTATCTAAATTTTAAGTATGATAAAAATAATTGTTTTTTGACTATGATTTATTCCAAGTGCTATAAATCATAGACGTCATTCGGATAGACGTCAGTGGCTATCTTATTTTGATTTTTCTTTTTTATTATGTAATGCTAATTTTTTCTTTATTTTTATTAGAATAAATGCTTTGTGTGTGATGACTGGTGTTTTAATCTCTCACTTATGTTATAAACAGGATGGTTATATTTTGCAATATATTACTTTAAACTGTTTTTTTAAGAAAAGGATAAAATAAATAGGAGAAGGACAGTAAAGTTGTTCTGTTTTTAATAAAACAGCACCCAAATGACTTAATTTTTCACGACACGTCGATTGTATTGTAAAATAAAGAAAAAAATCCTTAAGCGTAAAATTGTCAACGTTGCAAATCCACCGATCCCAACCAAAACCATGTGTTACTTTAAAACCCAGTTTCTATTCAATGCCCTATCCCATTCCAGTGACAGTGGTGACCACGGTAAGTGGTGCGACACTCCTCATCCTGAACGGGTATTCTTTCACGAACCCTGCACCCATGACAGGCGGTGAACGATGGTTCTGTTCTGGCAGAATCAGGTGGAAATGTAACGTATGCCTCTGCGTCAACGACGACTATGAACTTGTCTGCATATCCAACGAACACTCTCATGAACCCCCTGTATATGAAAAAACACCAGACGGACTATACATAGAAACTGTACCATAATGTCTTAAAACAAAGCTCAAAATACGTTGAAGCCTTCGCGGTTAAACGAATCTCAATGTGTTTAGGTATAAGTCGGAAATATCGTTAGTTTTTATAAGATTTATTCTATTTTTACAATGTTCAGGGTACTTCGTAATGTTATAAGTTAGTTGTTAGTGACGATACATGTAAATAGATAACTGTTTGATGGAATTGTAATCTCTACTATATTTTGGTTGTGTATTACATAATGTCTCGCTGTTTTGTATTTGATTATTGTGTAGGAAAATTCATGTAATAATCTGTTACGTCGAATATTAAGGAACAGTAACACATGCTTATAAAATGTCGTATCTACTTATAAGCATGCTTAAAACAAACCAGTTGTTTAAACTGATATATTTGCTTTTATTTAGCATGCTTTTTTAAGCAGACTTCTAACTAAGTGTGCTCAAAGAAACCACTTGAAAGACCTTAAAACTAGCATGTTCTTTATCAGCAACGTTTTCATACACATGCTAGCAATTGCCCAAAAGCGTCATGCTATCATACTAGTAATGAGCATGTGTAGCTGTACCTTAAGTTTATGAGGCTCAAAAATACAAAACATTGACGTAAGCAAACAAAAAAATAAACTGAGGTTGGCGTAAAGAAGGGCCCGAACTTTTGATTGGTCCAAAGAAATTTTCGTATGATATAAATAATGATATCCTAGAGATACGAATATACTTTTACTATATTATAAGAAACAATGTTATGCCCCTAACAAAAATAATATACAATCATAATAAACAAAGCAAGCTTACAGGAAAAGGAGGGCAACATTCAAGTGACTATTTAGTAATAAAATCTTGCCAAAATCAAGTGTAAGTTTTCATTTTTATTTTTTATTTGCTTTTTACCTACTGCTTTTTTTTAAAAGCGCTTTTTTTGCTTCGATAAACAAAACTGGCATAGGTGTTCGTTTCGAATTTAGTTAAGTAAGGCTTGTGTAGAATAAACTTGTTTTTTTGTATTTGGGCTATTATTAACGGTTTTTTTTATTTACAGAGAGAAGGGGTCGTAGACACAGACGTCGACAGAGTTGGAGAAACACACCGATACTGCGTTTGCGACCACGGCGTCGCCACAAGAAACATCAGCTCATACGCCCAGTTGGACCTTATAACAAGCATGGTTACTGCGTGAATTGTGTAAAACTTTGCAATTTGTTCTTAGGTCCGGAAAAGGCTAGGTATGCTAGGATGCGCCAAGTTACAACTTACTGCAATCGATGCAAGAATAATCCACATTATTGTACGAAATGCTTCGTAATAAAACATTCACATCTTGTCTATTAAAGATGGCTGCGAGCCCAGCTCTTTCGATAAAATCATTGTTGGTTTTATCTTTACAGTTTTAAAGTTCGGAATTAACTAATGAAATATTTAAGTATTCATAATGTCTAAAGAAATATGATTGTTCAAATAACGAAATAAACAGTAGTGTCAAATAAAAAAAAATCAGAAAATGAAAAAAAAAATATAGTAGAGAGTAGGTGATTTCAATTTCAAAGATATTTTTAATTAGATACTTATGTGTAGGTACTTATACTTAAATATCCAATCAAATCTAAAAGAAATGTAGCGTAGAATAGGAAAAAGTAGTACTTATTATATATTTTTAAAGTAAATTCAATACCTTCAATTAAAATTAATTACCTAATTCCTTAATTCAATAAAAATTCGATTTCGAGATTGATTTATGATACAAGTTTAAACCTTAGTGGATTTTGGTTGCTTTTTTAAATGAATAATCCTGTACTTATTGTAAATACGATAAATAAATTTAAAAAAAACCTGTCAAGATATCAATCTACTATAACAATTAATTAAGCTTGGATCGGAATTAATGAAATCTTCATTCATAATGTTAGAAGAAATATTAATGTTTAATTACACAGTAGGTAGGTAGTATCAGACAAAAAAAATCAGAAAAACAAAAAAAAATAGAAATTAGGGCAGGTGATTTCCATATCAAAGATATTAAATTATTTATATACTTAGTAAGTAATACTCAAATTATATAATTCTAAGTGAATATTAAACCTATGAAATAAAGAGGGTCTGATGGGGCGGCGAGCTACCCTTGCACCACACGCACCTACGGTGAGTGTAGAATAGGAAAAAGAATGAAAGGAGAAGGAAATAGAAATTATAATAATATGTTTAAAAGTGAATTCAATACCGATATCTATATAAAGTGTTAGCAATGATTAGGTACTATAAGAAATAATTAATCGTAGATTGGAATTAATGAAATCTTCAAATTCATAATGTTAAAACAAATATTAACGTTTCATTACGCAGTAGTAATAGAGAACCATGTTTAAATAAATAAATAAAAAAAAGGGAAAATATTATAGAAAAAAAACCTAAGAAGGTTAGGCGGTTTCAATTCAAAGATATTCGATTACTTTAGTACCTATATACGTGTATACTCGTGCAGAAATTATATAATAATTCTTGATGAATATTCAACCTATACGATAGGTAGTCTAGAATAGGAAAAGTAGTAATAAGTTATAATAATATTTTTAAGTTTTAAGAATAAATATCAAAACCTATCAAGATCTCAGTCTTTATGAATGTGTAGTAAAATATATTTAATACTATAACAAATCTAGGATGTTCTCGGAGATTCAGTTAATCTTTCATTACACAGTAAGTACTTAGTAACAGGTAAAAATATTTCAGAAAAAAAAATAGTTAACATTGAAAAAATAGTAAATAGTAGGTAATTTCAATTTAAAAGATGTTTAATTACTTATGCTATATACGTATACTCAAATTATATAATTCTTAATTAATAATCGTCGTATGAAGTAGGGAGTATAGAATTTGAAAAAGGTACTCATTGCGATATTTAATAGTAACTTATTAAAACCTGTCAAGATCTCCATATTTTCCATTTGATTATGAGTATTGAATACCTACTATAACAATTAACAGTATTATTATGTGTGATATTATATAGAGGTAGAAAATAGTAGATATATTTAATTGTGATAAATTTTCAGGCTTTAATATTTATGTCTGCCAAAATATATTATGTTTGGTTGGAAAGTACCTAACTGTGATTTTGTCGCTAGTCAATTTATTTTTAGTTTTTTTAATCTTATTTTTGCCAGAGGTTCATTTATGGTTTTTGGCATTTCGTAATCTTATGTGTGTAATAGTTGTGGTGGGAAATATTAATTATTGTCAAAATATTGTTTGAAGTAGATTATCTGTGTAGTTCAAAATGTTAGGAAATAAACTAAAATGTTGCCAAATAATTGAAAGTTGAGAAGCTCAGTAGAAACTTAAAAAAATGCATATTCCATATTTAAAAAAGATAAAACTCTATATGTCTGTATTTTGAGGCTCTTGGTGTTTTTGATCATAACTTATAATATTGATCAAGTAGCAATTCGTAGTATGAAAGAAATGTTTTGAAACAGTTGTTAATCGTATTTATTTATTCAATGTAAACAGTAAAAAATTAAATAAATGAAATCTGCATGTGAAAAGGCTTACTTAATATTGGGTTACCTACTTTGTACCCTTTTTTTGTTTTGTTATTTTATACCCCGAAACTATTCGAAAATAATGAATGCAGTTTTGTGATCTCGACAAAATTGTTGGTTACAAAGGTTATCGACGACCCTCTCCCAGCTCCCTAAATTGTTCAAGACGGATTTAAAAATGGCAGCTGCAAAAATCAAAATGGCGTGTCCTATCCTTCCAGGTGCGATTTGGCGGGAATGCGGATAGTCCCTGTCTTACTAATAACTGTGTTTAAACGTTTGTTAGTTTGGATGTATGTTTGTTGCTTTTTTTACTTAAAAACTAATCGATAGATTTGGAACGGAAGGTTTAATGATTGGTTAATAATCTGGAATACCACATGGTTTACTTTTTAATCCAGGAAATATGCTATTATCGTGGATATATAAAGGCGAAGTCGTGGGCATAAGTACAAACTGTATTTCTGGGTACAAGTACGAGATGAGGATCGTCAAAACATTTCATTTGGAAACCCTTGAGTCAACTAACGTCCGTTTTATAATTTAAAATATTCTGTTTTCAGACCTGGACTTCAAATTTATACCATCTGGACGCGGAAAATATTTGCTTTTGATGGAAAATCATACGTTTAATCAAGTTAAAAAAGATTTTAGGTATTGGAACTGTTCGAAGCGAACCACGGCGGGATGCAAGGCTAAGGTTAAGTTTGACAATCATAATAATATCATTGCTTACGTTAGGGAACATAACCACAATGCTCCTAAATTTGTTGTACATAATGGAAGCTATGTGAAATTAAGATAGAAATGTTCTTTATCCTTTTTTTATTATTTATTAAATTAAATTATGATTCGTCGTATTATTCGTTTTTACGATCAATAAAACAGAAATCAGTTTCTCGCATAACGTATCTACGTACTTATTTAATTTTATATTCTTGTTGAGAGAATAGCGATCAAATACGAAATCTCGTTATATTTAGTAGGTACTTGTATTGTTTATTTTCCGTCTGCCGTTGTTCTTCGATTTTAAGTACTTACCTAAATAATTTTGTTACATGGGTTGTGATTATAAAGCATGTTTATACTAAGTAATTAATTTTGTCAATTGATTTTTCTTTAATAAAGTTACAAATAAATAAAAGCTGAATGAATTAAGTTACATGTAAGTACTTTCTATAAGTAAAATATTTAGGTAGTAAAATTCGTTTTATATAAATAAATCTCTTCAGTTTTAGCTAGAAGTAAATACTTAGTAGGTAGGTACTTAATAGTGCAGAAAGTAGGTAGTTTAGCAGTAACAAACTTATTTGATGTATTGTCCAATTAACTATTTTTTTGTAAATAAATCACAGTATCGTCTTTAAGTCTTCGTCATCATCATTGCGTGATGGTCCAAGCTTCAATTTTGTTTAACTTTTGTTGCCAAATTTTTATCTTCAGTTACAGTCGTCACCTTGTCCTCGGGAAAAACTTTACTGATTGTCAATGGATATACATTTAAAGAAGAATATTCTGTGGCGAAAGAAAGGAGAATTCACACAAGATGGTGCTGTAGTGAACCTACCAACAGTAAATGTGATGTCTACATCCATGTCAATGATAGATTCGAAGTGATTTTCACGGCTAACGCTCATAACCATGAGCCAATATTCTGTCAAGTGTTCCAAAATAGAATTATGTAACAAAACATTATGTTTTAAACTGTTAGATTAGATTATATTGGACGTGTATTTTTTATTTTTTACGTTGTGTCGATTATAGTAATAATATCGATTATTGCAAATCTGCATGGTTAATTTTAATGCTGAATTTTAACGTGGATGGATATAACGGAAGAGGATTACCCAAGCCAAAATGAATAGATTATCTGCCTGATAAGTGATATGAGAAAAGGAGGGTTTATGAAGGTGAACTTGACTTGAACTAAAATGAATGAAGAAATAAAGCATATAGCACCAACCCTGAATGATGCAACAACGCTTTTTCTTTCTTTGCATTGTCGATCTACATTTTCTCTGGAAGTCCTTCTCTTGCAGCCATCCACGCTTAAATTAAGTATTCGTTACAAGTCTCCGCTATAAGTACTGTTTTATTATTATTATGACAGGATGACAATACGTTTTTTGTATTTGTTCTCATGTTTGATGACGCGCAAAGTATAGGTATCCTAGTTTTCTAATCTTATACTACGTAGGTTTTTGATTTAACTTTTCGAATGTCAAATCCAAGATCTCATTGCAGTATGTTTTTTTTTACTAAATGTGCCCTTTTTTAAGTATTAGGCAACCGTCAAAGACGCCTATTAAGTTGTAAGCGCCTAAAGGCAATAAGCTTTTATTTTATTGTTGTTATGATTGCAATAAATTAAAATGATTGATTTGAAATACATTATTTCATTTCAAATCCTTTTACCCACTTACTGCCTTTTAGTTGAACAAAATAAAAGACAGTTATAAAAATGGCACCATAATTTCCGTGGTGATCTCTTAATGTAAGCTCTGCATGCGATAGTTACTGAAGTACTTTATAGTACAAAGATAAAGGTTAATTTGTATTGTCTCCAGTTGAAGCAGTCACAGTTGAAGAGCTTGCTATTGAAGGAGTGGCAATCGAACCAGTCGAAGGTCCAGTAGACTCTATTGAGGGAGTCGATGAAATTGAAACTGCTGAAATTGAAGCTCCCATTCTTAATCAAGAATTAGAAGAAGAAAAATATGACAGCGAAAGTAAGGAGGAAGCGATTGTAGAAGGTGTAGATGGAGTATCAAATAATGTAGCTCTACTAGTAGAGTCACGCCGAGGGAAAACCGTTCTTCAGTACAACGGTCACAGATACCGCCAAGCATATAAATCGAAGAGCGGCACCCGTTGGAATTGCTCCGTTAACAAACATTGCACCGCTTTCCTGTTTATAAACGACCAAGATGAAATTCTAATGTCATATGAAGAACATGATCATCAGCGACCTACACGGTTCGAAAATGTCGACACGGAGCAAAGTGGTATGTCTTTAACTATATTTTTGTTTCCAAATTCACTTTACTCTGATAAGAATTTTATTAATGGACATTTTCATCCCTTTTTTAGATACAGCAGTGGTGATCACATCTCGAAAAGGCAAGGAGATGCTATTGTTCCGCAAGTTTACCTATCGCAAGCAGTACGATAAAGGGAACAGGTCTCGTTGGGTTTGCTCCACCCTCAAGAACTGCCGTGGTTGCGTCTTCACCGATAACAATAACTACATTATCTCTGCCTTCGAAGAGCACTGTCATAATCCTCCGAAGTACTATCTGAAGCCAGATCACTTAATCGGAGCCCTTAGGGAACCTCTAATCATTGAGACCGATTGATAAACATAGTTTTTTTATTTTATGTCTAAATTTAATCCTAATGAGGTGTTTAGATCTAAGTACTATTAAATCTAGTGATTACATACTGTATCTAATATATTATTGAATGAAATAAAGTAACTAGGTACCTAATAAGGTGTTCATTTTAAATGGATGTTTTATTGGTTTAGTCCCGATTATTGGATTTATATTATTTGGATTTAAAAATTTCATTTTTTTTGTTACTTACAGCTTACGCGATTAAATCGAAACGAGGCAGGACCATGATAGTGTACAAGAATTATACTTATTCAAGGTTTCCGTATCCCCTGAAAACTGGTTGGCGCTGGTATTGTTCTAAGGTTAAGAATTGTAGGGCTCATATTCTTACAACTGAAGATAACGTTATTATAACTGAATTAGGTAATCATAATCATTTGCCTGGCTGTTCTCCTGGGCATATCCCAACACCAATTGAAAGTAATCAAGGAAGAAAAGTATTTTATTTGGCACCAGACACGATGCACTAAAAATATTAAATAAAAATAAAATAGGACGAATAACTAACATAAAAAATATGCCCAAATATATTGAGGTTAAGTGATTGTAGGGCTCAGGGCTGCAGATGCAGACGACCTTATGGGTTACCGGGAGCCGATTCGGAGTCGCGGAGAACCTAACGGGTAACCGGGGCTCCGGCTCGACGTGCAGGAGAAGGAACGGGGTGGTTTTTAGTCAGTAAGAGTCTGACACTCCCTTCCGCCTCACCCAGGCGGGAGCAGTCATTCGATAATTTCCCCCCTTAAAAAAAAAAAAAAAACAATGGGTTACCGGGAATCCAGCTCGAATTAGGTGCCCCCTCCTCAAAAGGGGCTCTCACCTGTTGTGCTCACATATCTAGTCTCTATTGAACGAAATTAAGAACTGTTCTGAATCCAAAACCTGTGTTTAGATAGCTACGTGGAGAGATACATAACATCACGGCTTTTATCCCGAAAGGGTAGACAGAGGTGCACATTACGGCACTTAATGCCGCTGTACAATGTAACGCCCACTTTTCACTATTTATGCTACTACTGAGAAATTTGAAAAATACCCAGTAATAATTTACCCGACTCGGGAATCGAACCCGAGACCCCTTGCCCAGTCGCCCTTGCAACCACTCCGCCAACGAGGCAGTCGGATATATAGACTAATGGGATAGATAATTTTTTTAGGATTTTTGCAATTATTATCTTCCTACTCATGTGTGTATTACATACTATGATTTTTTTATTTTATTATGTTTAAAATAGGTTACTATGACTATAAATATTAAGGTACAAAAAGAGATGTTTTTATGTTAATTTAATGTAAATAGATGGTGTGTAATTATATGGACCGAGAGATAAAAATGCCTATGTATTTTAAGGATTATTCTTTTGTTGAATATCTTTTTGAAATCTATTTATCACATGTTGCCTTTATAATTATGAATAGGTACCTACTTATGTCTGGATAAGTGCGATTTATTATAGTTTAATACTAGTGTTAAGTTACAACCAATCAGCAATGTTTTGTAATCAATTAATTCATTATATTAATAAAAGTATTGTGCTTTCTTTTGTCGTTTTCACTATCCCATCATTTATTTCATTTCCAGCCATGATCGTCCCACTGCAGGGCAAAGGCCTCCCTACCCATTTCAAATAACTATAAGAATAAAAATTATTGCATTTTATGTAGGTAATTTGAATCAGTTTTACAATTCTTATTTTCGAAAGTGATTAAATAAAAACACAGTTCTTCTATAAAAAGTTTGTATTACTATAAGATTTCTTAATTCTACAGAGGTTCTGAGGTAGTGAGTATTACAATCAGTCTTAATTTAGCTATATCAGTTATCAGTCTTAAAACAGAAATATTATGATCAGATACAATTTAATGTCTAAAAAGACTAAAAACTATACCATAAAGTAAGTACCCACCAACTTAAGATACACTTAATATGTTTACTTATAAAAAAAAAGAATCTTAATAACTACAAACCATAGACACTGATTTTGGTCCTGATTACAATAATTTACTTTACCAGGAGAAAAAAAAACCACTAAAAATATATATAATTTAATGTAAATATAAAACTTACACCAAACCTATTGTAATGAATCTTATATTAGTTAAAGTTTATTTGAGGTAGAAATTAAAATACTTATCAGACTTATCATGATCTTTTTGAGGTCATACAAGAAGTATAATTGGTATAAAAAGGTAAATTTTCAGTCTTTGATGCTTTGGAGAAGACCAAAACAAAGAGTAAGACCGTACAGTAACAGAATTAATTATTTCTAAATAAATTGTATGATTTTTACCTAAAATACAACATGGGATCTTGCCATAAGTTGCAGTCTATAATGATACAGTCTATAGTCTATACTGTATGGTCATACCCCTTATAGGGTCTTACAGGTTAATTCAGTCTTATCAGCTATTTCATTTACACAATAAAAAAATCATTATACAACTTTATAAGATCCATCATTACGACGATAAAATCCATGCGGAGGGTGATTGTGGACATTCCTTACCCTTTTAATCACTTGTCCAAGTCGATGCACCACTGTGGTTACGTCCACGTTACATCCAGTCTTCGTGCGTGATGTGCAGTACCATTGTTTCTTCCCATAAGCCAGTTTATTTTTCAAACGGAATGCATATCCTTTGTTTACCAGCAGTAAACTACCTTTTCTTGTCGGTATGAAGTTTGCAACTGAAAATATCAAATGGTGTTAGTAAATGTTGTCAAGTTTGACCTGGTAGACACTTCTACAAGCTTTAAAATAATTATGTGTAAAATGAAACAAGTGATACTTTTGTATTAATTATATTTCAGAGACTACAACAATAATTTGACACTATCTTTATCTTAATTACAGTTTGTAAATTTAACAACTAATTATTACAAACATTATTTTAAACAATTTGTTAGTGTGAAAAGTTCAGAAGTTATTCGCGGGTTTACGAAGTAACCTATTGTTTATCACATCTTAACTTCACAAACTCAAAGTCACAACCATCACTTTCACGGATAAACGGTTCAGAATAATAAATTGAAAACAAAAAAAAGTAGAGTAATTAATTCAATGGACACAAAATTAAAACAAACAATCGAAATACGACGCAAACGCTCATCTACAATCCAACGCTGATGATAGGTCACAGATAAAATATAAACATGTATGATGCTGTGCTGTCAAACAAAACATGCGAGCCCCGTGCGCCGTAATTTTGTAGAATTTTGATATTGCAAGAACTTTTTTTAATAATAAATGATTTTAGCATTTAACATATTTTTTTGCATCTATATATGCATGAAAACTTCGCATAATAATTGGATTTAATATATTTAAATCAAGTTTATTATTATGAGAAGATTTAAAATCTTATTTCGATGTTAAAATATTATTATTAAAGTTATTTATATAAAATACATATTGTTGTAAACAAAATCATGAAACTTTTCTGATCTGCAGTTAATACTAATAAGTAGTATGAAAGAAACGAAACGTTCATGTCAGAAAAAAGTGACAATAGATAAATTTGACAAACGTGCTTCGTTTCTTTCGTACATACAGCGTAACACACCAAAGAAAACAATAAATTAGTTCGTGTTATCTGATTTTAGTCTCAATATCGAATTATGATTAGTTTGCGGAATGCATCTGGCTCCTTATATCGCGTGCCACAGTAAGAACAATAGCGATGTGATTTAAAAAGTTTTAAAAAAGTTTCGGAAACTTTAAAACAAACTTTATTGTTGAGTGATTAGTAAAGAATTGTGCTTTTGTGTGATTGTTAAATGTGTTCAGTGTTGTTTTAAGTGTATATTTATTGCTAGTTAAGTGAAATTTAACCATGAAACCATGAATGATGAAGGTAACAAAAGTTAAAAACATAATTCTTATTAGGATTTTTATCAAGAGGCGGTCTTAATTCCTTAGATTTCAATAAATTAAGTTCAATTTGTGTATCTGTCAATTGCATAAATATTTGAGTAACTTGTTTCTATTAGTTATTTAGTGAAACATGATACTAACCTATAAAGTGTAAAATATAAATTCCTTAAATATTATTTTGTGTTACATAATAGGCACCTACTTGTTTACAGCACATTTAGACCTCGCTATAGTTGATTTTATAAATATCATTTTTTAATGTTTGTAAACCGATTTAGTAGATACTTAATTTATTTATTGTATATTTGATTTTTATGTAAGATACATAAAATAATGCAATAATGTTGTGGTAAAAAATACTTAGAAAATTTAATAGATTAGGACTACACGATTTCATATTCTTTTACATATTTCTTAATGATTCAATGAATGTATGTTAGCATTTTACAATTTTTTCGTCTATTTGTATTAGCTGGCTGTTTTTAAAACATTTTTATAATAACCAATCTCATAGTTAATTATTTTGTACATAATACTAACCAATAACTAATTCAAATTATTTGTAGATTATAGGTTATTAAAGATGTTCCAAACTTTATATTGACCAGCTGTCTTGCCATTCACGGCATACAAATGTATTAAATTATATAATACATAAACACAATATTACTGAAATGAAATTAGAACTGAAATAAATTGCTCTTAAATTACCATTATATTTTTTATTCAGTGTCATGTAATTCTGATTTTATATCCTACTTCATTTTGTAAGAATTATAGAATATGATAACTAGCTAATGCAGAAATTGTAGGTCCTCAGTGCTACAAAAGAGACTTACTATCATATACAGTCATAAAAATTTAGACAGAAAGGTACTAAAACCTTTGCTTACCATTTTTTATTGATTTTATAAGTAATTAAAAAGCGTGTGAATTTTCTTTAATGGTATTGTCATACTTTTTATTTATACTTTATCAAGAGTTTAGACCGAAGTGGTGCCACTCAATCACAGATACTAGGTGTGAAACACACTTGTTGTATTTTGCTATGTCAGTGACATTACCGAAGACCCAATATCTCCTCAC